AATAATAGTAAAAAAAAATTAAAAAAAAAATAAAGTAGTGCAGTTGAGTAACTGGTGAACTGCTCCACTTTTCTCACATGGGACACTAGATGAACTATAAAAGTTTCACCACAGATCCAAAGTTTCTTAATCATCAACATTAAAAAAAAAATGTGAAAAACCATTGAAGACATAAGAACATAGATATAAAAGATAGGCAAAAGAAAGGCATTTTCTTCCAGTATTATGCTGTTCCAAAGATTGTGTGATTACACACACAATCATACAAAATTAATATTTATTAATATTTAATATACCCAAGAACTTGCCATGTTGCTGAGACGTGTGGCAGGTTCTTGTCTTGACTGAATTTGTAGCATATAAAAAAAGACTGGAAAATCAACAAACAATTATATTTAAATGAACTACAGAATCCTATGAATTGGAGTGGTATAGTGGGGTTAAGTGAGAAGGGAGGGAGAGGAAAAGAAGGGGAAGGGGGAGGGAAGAGGAAATAGAGGAGAGGAGGAGGAGGGAGAGAATATGTGTGCATGCCTTTATTGTATGGGCAATGTCCAAAAAGAAAACTCAGTTTAAAAAAATCATTTATACTTTTTTGTCTTTTTTTAAAAAATGCATTTAGTACAAGGAATACAGGGTCTATTGGGTTTCATGACGTAGACCAGGCTCATAATGATCCTCCTGTTTTCAGCCTCCCTAGTGCTGGGATTACAGGCACAGTCACCATGACCAGTCTCAATCACCATCTCAGCGCACCCCGGGGGACGAGGCCAGCAGGGCACACAGGAGATCGAACCGGGGCCGCTGGGCTCTGCCTAAGCAGGGCTTTAGTCCTCTGAGATATCAGGCCGGCCCCCTGTACTCCTTAGTAAAGAATGAATCAGAAGAGTAAGCCAAAAAAGGAATGATTCTATTTGAGATAAAAAGGCTGGGAAAATGGTGGAGGCATCACATAAAAACCCAACAGTTCTCCATGGCTGGCATTCCAGAGTGGAAGGTGTAGGGACAGCAAGAGATGTGGCTGGAAGACTCTCTACATTATTTGGACATCAGCTCTAATTACAATAAGACTTTACACATAGTGAAGGATGTAATATAGAGAGCAGAATGAAGAAAGGGAAAATGAGATTTAAAAAGGTAAGTCAGAATCTGAGATATATTTAGAAGGTATACGTTGGTAATTGGTTGGCTGTAGTGACCAGGGATAGGAAGGAAAACAGGCTGGCATTATGTTGCTATACCAAACAAGCTGATGTTATGTTAGACAGTGGTACTGAAGTAGGATAAAACAAAGATAGGTACCAAGGAGGCAAGGAAAATTATAATTTTTAAATTATATGTTTGAGTTATTTGCAACTTTAGGACACAAAGTTACTCTGGAATCTAGATTTGTACTCCTTAGGATTGTTTATGCTCCCTAGGCTTGATTGTTTTTTTCTTAGAGGTCCAGCACCAAAAATCCCTTAAAGGTACTATTCCTTTATAAATTAACCTAGTTGATACCCTTATCAACCTTCATAGAATTAAGATGAAAAACAAATTTAAAGGAGCCACAGCATGTTAACACATATATCCTATCCCTCCAGGTGTGTCAATGTTTAACCTTGCCTAACAAAATCTGTCTGTGCCTTGCCCTGATGATTCCTTAGATTTTTTTCTTTCTGTCTTTCTTTTTTTTTTTTTTTTTCTTCTGTAATATGAGTCAAGATCTACTGGACAGGCCAAGTTGAGGTTCTCATCTTTTCCTTGGGAGATCAGCTCA